AAAATAGTAAAAAGTGAACTAAAAAGTAAAAAATAATTTTATTACAAGAACAATTTACCTATCAATTATAGCATATTTTAACAACCGAAAATTAACTACAATTTTAAATAATGTTAAACATCTTTAATTTTTGACTAAAAAAAGTTCCTAATAAATTTATCAAATAATGTTTTATATTGTAAGATCTTTTGTAATTTAAGTTTAGTTTAATATCTGTGTGTGACACATACATTTCATAATACTTAACTCAATGAATTTGGGCTTTGTTGAATAGGGCCCACGCTTTTCTTTTTAGTCAAAATTTAAAGATGTTTATCATTATTTAAAATTGTAATTAATTTTCGGTTGTTTTCAAAGGAAATATGGTACAACTGATTGGTAAATTGTTCTTGTAATAAAATTATTTTTTACTTTTTAGTTCACTTTTTACTATTTTTTTTTTAGAAAAGCGTGTTTTTAAAAAAAGTTTTTTTTAAATGTATTTTTTTTTTTACTTTTTAGTCCTATTAAAGGTATTTAATAACTGCTGAATAGATTACTAAATAATTTTACAAGATTTGAAAAAAACATGATATTTTAGTGAAATGACCCCCACATTTGACCCTGTGTAGGGCGACCTTGATGTCCGAGTCCCAATATGATAACAGGATATTGTATTGTCATCTAAGATGAGTGTCTGTGCCAAGTTTCAGCCCTATACGACATCGGAAAGTGGGATAAATTAATTTTGCAAGATTTGAAAAATACCCGTTCAAACGTACGTACGTGTTAGCGAGCTAAAGAAAAGCATGTAAATTCCTATAATATAATTTATAGTTAATCAGTTGCGATCAAAACAAATTATTGTTCTAATGTATACAAATCTTTAAAAGTAAAAATTTCAAGAAAAGTTTATTATTCTTTTTGAACTTAAGTTAAAATATATATTACTAATAATAATAATAATAAAAGTCTTAAGACTTTTTCCAGAGTGTAAGAATTCTCCATGTTTTTAAATGTCTGCAGATGATTCACATAGACGGAAGCATTACATTATTTCTACGATGGTCCGAGTATAAGAAATTTGGAGGAATTTGTTCCGTGGAGAGAAGAATGAATATTGGACTTGACTAATATCAGTAAATGGGCAAAGGGCTTTTGAATGAAAGTCACTTTGTGCAGTAAATCACAACGTACATCATTAGATTAATTAAATGCCCATTTATAAATGGGTCAAAACGCCAAACCCGAACAAATGTCTGTTACGATGAAAGAATGTTCTCAAATTTTTTTCTTTCTCGAATATTTAGCCATTGACATAAAGTATTTTTAGTTTTTTTCTTAAATCTCCTTTTTTATCGTTTTTCAAATTATCATCGGCCATAGTGGATTAAAACTAAACTCAACTAGTAAAAGCATAAAAGCGATAGTATACTGAAAAGTATGATCATCAAGTTTGATCACCTTCTAATATTTCTGTTATATATTTATTTTGCTTAAACCATTGTCACAGAGGAAAATAGTTTGAGACAATATGAAATGGAGTGGATGGTGAAGAAAGTCATAGTGTATGGTTTAGGAATGAAAAGTAAAGACCAAATCAGTTCAGTGAGGTATTTTAAACCCTGTTTTCTCTCCAGTGTGTCGAAAACTTAAAGCTGTTTCACAACGGAAACTTTATTAAAACTTTAAATGAGACAAGATGCCGGAGATGGCCTATTGCTTTAACACACAAGTTAAATACCCTATATATTCTAGACACTTTTGCCATTTAAACGTTAAGTACCATAAGGTGAGGTGAAATAACAAAGCAAAACCGTTCAAACATAATTTAACGTTGTGCAAGTTGTAATATCATTGACGTCCATTAGAATTGTATAATTAAATATGTAATATAATCCTTGTAATAAATTGCTTTCTACACATGTATGAATTTGGCCCCCTGCATTGTCCGATTGACCTAAATCCAACTAATTTACAACTATTTGCGACGAGGTTTTTTTGAATTTGCAGATCAATATTTACATCGAAAAAATAATTTTTATAACGACGAGCCTCTCCCCCCCCCCACTATACTACGTAATGATCTTTTATGACTCAATTTTAACGTTAGTACAACATAGCTCAGGTAGTCTTACAATTTCCAAAATTATAAGAGGAGTGGACAGTAAATTACCTTTTTGGAAAATTATAATAAGAGTAATGTTTTTATTTTTTTATTTTAAATATGAAATTTTTCTAACTATTCTGGATTTTTAAGAACTAAAAATGCAGAATCCTGTTTGTAATGATTATATAGATTATAGATTATATTAGGATATATTTATTCAAAATCCTGTATATTCAGTATTTTTAATTATAACAATTAGTTGCAAAATATTGGCATACGTTTCGAGTAGGGTTGACTAACGAAGGGGAGCTACGTGAAGTTGACTCCACTTCTCTAATTTTTGTTATTCTCTGGAGAGCAATAAGTTTCAAGGTCAATTTCACACCCGTGCTTTCTACAACTTTTGAAAACTATATTATGTGAGTAACAACAAGCTATATAAATAAAAATTTTCAATAAAAAAAATGGCATTGTTATTCGATTTTTTAATCTTAATAATCACTTATAATATTATATTAGTTCAAACTTATCCAACAAAAAATACATTAATACTTTAGTATTTTGTAAAAAATAATTTATAATATGGAATACTGTTTTTGTCTCGTATACATTAATTTATGTACCATGCTATAAATAAAAATGATTTTGAACGTAAAAAAGATAATATTGGTTTTTAAATTTTAAATAAAATTTCAGATTAAAAGGTTGTTATTAATTAAACTCTAACATTTCCATGTAGTTAAAACGTGTATTACTGCATTCAAACAAATAGTTCGCAAAACGTTGTTTCTAAGAACATTTAAAGTTGTTGAAGTAGTATAAAAGGTTTTAAAATGTTTGCTAATAACATATTTATAATAATTGGGTGTTTTTTTTTGTAAATATTTACTTTTAATAGTTTAATTATATAGTATTCAATTAAAATATGTCTAGGATTAGTTACAATAATTATAACTAATACAAAAATTCTATATAAACAATAAATTGTGTACATTTTAACGAGGAAAAATTTAATTTGAAACTACATTACTTAACTTACTCATAAAACATATGATTGAAGTGAAAAGTTTCACGCCCCTTTGAAGTTTCTTTTATCTATAAACTCAGTATCGTCTTTTTTCTTTTTCTTTGTAGGATGCATATGGTTGACTAGAAAAATGTATTAACTGATTAAAATAGGGGTTTTGCATTCCTTTTAATTCAGTTTCGGTTGCTACGGTTTGCGGTGTACACTGTACATGATATTATATCTATCTCACACAAAATATATTTTTAAATCTTTATCGACAAATATTTCTTATTTAATAATTTTTTAAAGTACGAAGTGGACATAATCCGGTGTTTCCTTAAAATATATGGTCCTCAAAGACATTATATACACTTATAATGCATCAATTTAATGTTTCAGTTGTATAAATAACATTAACTTTTTTTTAATGTTACTTAAATAATACCATTTGGTAATTAAATGTAAAAAAACTCATCGCTTCATGACTCGTCAGTAAGGGTTGTGGCCCCTTTGGACCCCTTTTCTCCCAAGTTATGTACGATTAAAGCTAAAAAATGCGTAGTGTACGTTTTGGCGCAATGGAGCTTGCTATGCCAGTTTCTCTTGTTATTATATTTGTTTTTGCATAACCACGGAATTTGATTATCAACAACAATGTCGAATTATGTCTAGAGTAAACAGATAGGTTAAAAATAGGTGTCTTGTAAACATATAGTCGGTAACGCTTAAATCTACGTTTTTTAATTATCACCCCCGTCCTAAAAGGTGTTTCACGTTAAAAAAAACTACCATCTGCAAAGTAGTACTGAACACCAGAGTAGTATTCGGACATTTTTCACTTCGGAGCAACGCTATCCCTATGACCCTGAAAAATCCACGGCTTATATACTCGTATTTGCCGTCCGAGGAAACGCTTTTGCTCTATTACTTAACCGAGGATACTTTTCCTCCTCAAATACACGGTACTGCTGATAATATAAAAATGCATTTTATGAACATTCAACCCTATAGTTGTATGTGATGGTCGGTAACTCTGTGATTTTTAACTTAAGGTAATGCGTTATATACGAAAAATATCATTAGGTGATTGAAAAGTAAGCAAGTAGTTAAAATCAATAATATATGGTAGAAAAAAATGTACTCGGTCAACAGCTATACATGACGTACACCTAACGGCTAACAGTGAACTTGATGGTTATAAATATATGCATGTATACACGATACATATAGGTAATATTATATCTTTGTACGATAACGTGAGTGCTAATCACGCCAATTGTTGTGTATTTCAATCGCGGACTTGTCCCCGGAGATATACACGGACAGGAAGAGGACAAAAGCACGGGAAATAGGACAGCAACGAGGAGTGAGCGAGATAAACGGATTATTTATAACAGTATAACCGCGGCAACCCCCGACAACGTCTATTATGTTCATCGTCGGTAGGCCAAATTTGGAAATTATTGACCTCGGTCATTTGTGATAACGATCAATAAATTGACATGTACCTACGCCCCCGACACGACGACCGCTTTAAATTGACAGCGGTATTTGTATGCATGTGCGACACACGAGCTTTCCATCATGTTTAAATTAATTATTTATTACAACAGTAATGTGTGTGGGAAACGATTCGATCGAATTGTATACGAAAAAGAGAAAACTGTTTGGCGAACGTTTCAATTAAAACAACACGTCATCATTTGGGACACGAAGGATTTGCGTGTGACACACAAGAACGACGACAATCATGTTTTTCAATACAATGTAATTTACCGTCGAGGGTATATCATTAGGCGAGCGTGTTTGCGACGGATAAATACATCTCGGCATGGGTTGTAAATATAACGACTTGGGTATAGTATGTACTTAGGGTGTACGCAAGAAAATAAATGCACTCACTTGACCATTTGCGCGTAACAGGACGAAGGCTCCGAGTTGTTGGTCGAAGAGGTAAGCGTGCTGGTGGAGTGGAAACGAGCACGTTCCATTTTCATCCTTTCCATTTCACGTTTCTTTGTCTCGGAAAACTGCGTGGCAATGACCACCAGGCAAAGGTTTATCATGAAAAACGATCCGATCTGGAAAAAACCGTAAGTCGTCGAGATTTTAATAACTGTGCGACGATAGAAATAAATAAATAATACAAACAAATATATATATTGTACGGGAAAAGGGTTAACAGTGCGAAGTATTTTTACGGATTCTGAAGAAACGTTATTACACAGTTTTATTGTGGCTCAACCACCGTACGCTGTAAATACAAGATAAGTTTTAAATTTTTTTCTCGAGCGATCGTCTTCAGTGTTGCCGATATACATGCTCGTTGCACGATCCAAGACGTTTCAATAAGCCATAAAAATAATACCGTCTGTTTGTGTGGTACAATTTGCAACGGTTATTCGGTATTCTGCGTCTATATCGTGCATCGCTTTACGATCGAGTCCATTCGGCCAAAGAATATTAAAAGTTATTAGAACCTCTAAAACACCGACAAAGCGTTTCATAAAATACGTTTACATTATAACTCGATGGGTTATTGAGCGAAAACAAGTCAATTCCGTTTTTAAAAAACGACAGCTGTCAAATCATTCAAAATAATATTTAATCGGTAATGCGCTTTTTTAATATTAATTTCCGCAGATAAAGCGACAAATATTTTTATATAAATGCAGACTGAATACGATTTTGTTAATAGCCAATCACGGTACGCAACGCATTTTATTTTTAGTCGAATTGCGCGTGCACTAGTTAGCCGAACGTTAATTGTTATCGTTTTCCCGTGTTAACGGTTTAAATAAATGTATCACGTACATGTCAATTAAAAAAAAAAAAAAAATCCAGTGAATATTATATTAAAAACTAACCTTCTAACGGCCTTTACAGTACAGCAGATTAACTTTTACGTAATGCTGTACATGTGTGATTTGTGCATGTTTAAATTCTTGATTTATTGATTCATAACACGTATTATAGCAGCGCAAGCGAAGAATTTCATTTAATAATTTGACATCAGAGTGTCTACAAAATTACTGATAATATAGAAGCACAAAAATCGCTTCACAGATTTGGGTGATAAATTACAAATTCAAACAATATAGCTGAACACACTTGACGATGATCCAAGGAATCGACTGATACTTGGATGGAAAGCCCAATTAGGCGATAGCGCCAAATACATACCCTACGGCCTACATCGCATTAAAAAAAACCCCTTAACCTTTTGCCACTTACTCTAGAACGTTATGTAAATTACTTCAGAGTACAGCGAAAATATATAATACCCAGTAAGTAGTAACCCCTCTAGAGGTTACATGATTATGTTTACAAAATAATCAGATTATAATGTTGGTACTTCACAATGTTAAACCTCATACAATCTAAGGCGTGAAGAAATTTGTACTCTTTTTTTTATGTATATAGAGTATTATTTAAATTGCTACAGAAAATTATAATGATAAAATAAGTTAAGACAAATATACATAATTAATTATAAAAACGAAATAACAATTTTAAATTAATTTTTGTGTTGTGTTGTGAATTGTAATGACAATAATATGCTTAACATTTTATTTTTAGTTTTAGCATGGATACGATTAGGGTTGATAATTGTCTCTCTATAATAATTTGTAACTCATATTATTAACAATATAATGAAAATATTTGTCTAATACGGTAAAAGTGTTTTTCTAAACAGATAAAAAAGATGACTTCAGATTTTTAAGCAAAATATAAGTTTTAGAGCTCCACAGATTCACGAAACTTCGCTTGAAAAGTGAAATAAAGAAAATGTTTCCACCCCTTCTAAGTAAATGGGGTTTTTAATATTTTTTTGATTTCACAAAATAAATCGATAGTACTTTATCTAAAGGATTGTCCATACAAATTTAGAACTCGTTTAGGAACTCGAGGCTGGATCAATGTTGTATTATATATTTTTTACATACGTACATATTTTGTGTTTGTCTTGATTTTAAATAAGCAGCGTGAACTGTTTAAATTTTTAGCACAGTAAAGTACCTCTTAGGTACGATTTCTGATCTATTGACTTCTTATAATACATCAAATTATGTTGATTTATTTATGTTGGTTGTAATCGATAGAAATGAGCAATAGTAAGGTAATTTTGAAATTACAACTACATGAAAGGCTGTCAAACCAGCATGAAATAAATTTATATTTGCTTTTCTTACTCTGATTGAATAGTGCAATGTTTATAAAAATTACAGGTGATTTTTGACAGGAAATTTGGAGATTGCATAGAACCGCGAAACCGCCAATGTCAGTAGAAAAGCATATATGTCGTTGGAATTGTGCGGTGGAATAAACACTACATTATGCATAATACGATTTTGGCACCTGTTTGTAATAGGATTTAGTGTACAATAATCTTTGCAGTGTTTATTGTGTGAGTAAAACTTCATGAAGGTAAATCGGTAATCATACCCTAAATCGTTTCATCGCTTGTTCGAAAACAGCTATATAATATTATCATATATAAGCTGTCTAAAACACACAGTTTATAATTAAACGTAAATATGGAAGGAAATAGGATATCTCTATATAATATAATATTATATACCCTCTAGTTAATTTTCATTCTTGTAAATCGAAACTTAATATGTATTGGTTCAATTATCAATTCTGTTTTAGTTAAAAACATGTAATTATTTATCTTATTACTTGTTTGTTATTATTCATGTTGAAAGAAGTCCTAGTATGTTCTAATGATTTAATTACCATTTTTTTTATATTTTCTGGAATTTAACTTATAATATGTTATGGAAGAATTAATTGCAGTTATTAGAAGTATTATTATATTTTGAAAAATATATAGTTATGCCAAATGGTAGTAACAAAATTTATACTAAAAGGCAAATGAACAAATTTTAACTAGATACCGCTAGATACCTACTAAACACATTTCATCCTCGTCTGTACGGTTGTCTTGTGTAAGCGCTTTTAGTTTTTGCTAATGTTTAAAAATAACATTATTTCTCTGTTGAAATTATAAATCCAACATTCGTCGAAACAAATTATAGGGGTTCACTTGTAAGGGTAATTATTTAATTTACATATGTAAAAAAATGAGTTGAAAAGAACAGGGGCGGTCAGGGTTAGTTAATTATCTCACATTAAAACGATTAAATATAAATGTTCATCCTACACCACAAAATTATTATAGGACAGCAAAAAATATACACGAATAATAAAATTAGTTGAGGTAGATATAAAAAATATTCTTCAAAATTAAGTTAAAAAAGGTTATATTATTACTACAAAAATAAATTTAAACGTCTATTTACTAATTAAGCTCTCAAAATGTTTTATTATATTATTATTTGATTTGGCAATATTATATAAATGTAATTTCATTGGGTTAGCTATAATAGGATATTTAAAAAAAAATACTTCATTAAATTTAGATGTAAAAACATTATTATCCGGACTTTTTAATTTTTTAAAGCTGCGATAAATAAGATTAAAAATATTAAAATGTTATATGTTAGAGCCGAGAAGTAAAAAAAACCTAACAGTGAAAAAGGGCCAAGTTCTAACCCCCTCCAAAAAAGTCAGCCTATCAAAGTAGTGATATATACATTGTGGCCAAGTCTACTATTACTTTATTTCATAACCTCACACCACTCCTACTTTCACGAGCAACACTGCTCTTTTATTTGCTTAACACATGGCCAGTTTCTGAGCCCTTTTTCACTGTTAGGTTTTTGTTGGAGATATCGTTCCTTTTTGGTAGCTAAGGTTTGAACCACGCGGCCGCCTCGACGATTTTGCTGTAATGCAATTTTTCTTAGAAAAGCGGCACTTGTCACGACATGCACAATCAATGTTTCAAATTTCAAAAGCTTATCTTAAGAGGAAACAGAGATACTTGGGTTAGAAAAACCGGATGAATTGGTTCGTGTAAAGATACACTGGCATTGCTGTACCTTGGCCTGGCGCACTGCCGCGTGCTCAGATGACTTACAGAAGTATAGTGGTAGTACAGCTTGGTTAAAATAATAGTAATTTTGTTGCCTCGCTAACCCTAGTAATGTATGTAAATGTCTATCAAAGATAAAATAAGAAGACATTGTTAAATACAATATTGAATTGGTATTGAGTATCGATCAATTCCTTCTTTTATATTATTTCCATTATTATTTTAATAAGCAAGTAAAATATAATTTAACAATTATGATTATAGTTGTATATTAATTGATTTTTAACACAATTATATTGATACACATAACAAATTTAGATTATTTTTTCATTTTAATTCAAGAAATAGAACATATTTGGATTCTAAAATAATATTTTTTAATTTTAACTTGTAACCATGTCAAAAGAGTACATTTTCATTGGGAATGACAACAGCTAAGCGCTATTAGATATCAATATCTGATTAATGTCACTAACAAAGTTGTGCCTTAAGGGGAGTGGGGACTAAATAATTCTGTTGTTATCGAACAAATGAATTTATAGGACTAAATATTAATGTTACTGCTAAAGTTTAATGATTTATAATTATTTAGAAAATGTTAGCTATTAACAGATTAATCTATACTTCGTAAACGATACAAATAGTTAGGTGTAAAATATTACCTACAACTTGCAACATATTATTTAAAAGAGGAGTTATTAAACATTTATAAATGTGTGATTACAAATTTGCATCCTACTTTAAATATTATGCTTACATCATTTTAACGTAAAAAAAAATAAAATTTTATTGCGAAAACAAATTAATCTATGTAACTATGTATCTATAAAACGTCATACTTGTATTCGATACATCTTATCACTAATAACTTCTCACCCATATTTTCTTATTCTTTGCGATCTCTACCGAGTTTTCCATTCTCATACTAGCTATCTTAGATCACGTGGTCTCACCAATACTACTTGGTATCTTTCGACTTTCTGTCAGACTTACATACAATTTTTTTGATTAATTATCTTATTTTCTATACAGCATACGTGTCTTTCCAACCTTTTGTTTTGCTTCAAGACTGCAACCTGGAACTATGATCGATCGACTTCTTAACATTATGATTTCACTTTTACAATCTAGCGTGATTAGAATTTGACAACAAATTGTTTTATTCGATGTACTGTTGGGTGTTTCCGTGTTACAACTGATTATACTTATCGAGTTCAGTAAAGCAATTTTTCGTACATTGAAAATGCATTCCCTTAAATGTGCAACATGATTAAATGATAACTTGGAAGTGGGTCAAAAGTCTGAATCTCTTCAGACTTTTGAGATTTTTTTTATGAAAAAGAAATATCATGTATATGTATAAGCAACTGAAGGTACCTACATATTACGTTCTTATGAGCTCTTATACTTTTCTTCTAAAAAAAAAATCCTGGTAGAGAATAGAAATGTCGACAAAACAATGTTGTGCCTACTCATGTATTACATTTTTTTTGAAAAGAAACTTTTGTATTAATAAAAAAAAAGGTAATTTTATGATTCTTGTGTGCTGTCTCGTGCAGTTCTTTCATTATTTTTTTGCAATAACTATGTATATACTGTGGAGTGTTTTATGTTCCAATTTAAACGGCAAGTACATAAATATTTTTATTATTAACTGCAAGATGTATGATTTTGGACGGTATCATGACAATTTGATCGGCTAAAGTAACATAACAAATTAATATCTTAATAAATTCATAAATTTAACTTTAATGTGACGTATAGCAGAAAGACAACATTAAATAATTATTTTGTTAAAAAATATATATTTTAAGCCGGACTATCCGCTTTGGTTTTTAAAATTAACCATGTTTTTTGTACACAATCATTTAAAAATTAAACTTAATTTTTTTGTACACTTGTGTATAATACAAGAAAAATAAGTAAAAATGTTTTTAATTTATGTGATTATAATTTATACCTGTTATCATTTGTACAAGTAAAGTGCAAACACACTTAGAAAATGTATGTGTAAAGGTATAATCATAGTACTTATGTAACAGTTTCGAAAATTAGTCACTCAATTTATGTGAGTAGTTAAACGTAATGGAAAATAGGTTTTTATTATTATTTTTTTTTTTTGTAGCTCGTAAATATTTCAATAACAAGTAATTGTTTCAACAGTTACATTTTTATAGGTCATAGAATGTTTGAAAAAAAAAATGTTTAGTAATTGCTGTGAAAAGTACATAACCAAATGGATATAGCCACTCTTTAGTTAAGCTGCATCAAGTCTAATGATGCTTTTAAATTGCTATTAAGTCGACGTTTATAACCCATTTTCCCTTCAAGCATTTAAATAGGGTTTGACTGAATAAAAAAAAAATACTATACCTTACGTTTTACAACTGCATTTTTCATAACAAAAAAATGTTGTCCACAAACATAAAATTCCTATAAAACCAGACTTAAAAAAAATCGAACTATACATTACTTATAAAACTTATTAACACCTCACATTAAAAAAAAAAAACACTTTTGCTTACGCGTGGTAGGTATAAGTTTAAAACACAATCATTTTTATAATTGGGTTCACTGCATATTATTTATTATTTTACAGGTAAACTTAAAAACTAAAAGGTAAAAAAAATGCTTAATTAAAAATGTATGACAAACTTATGTGTATAAGAATACATCTCGATGTATTTAAAAGTGTAACGCGTTTAAAGTTTAGAATTTAATATTTAAGTACATTGTAATCAAATACCTTGAATAGTAATCAAATGATAAATACTTCAGTAATAAAGAATTAATAATGAATACAAAAACGATAATTTATAATTATATTTTATGTGGATAATTTTATGTTTAAACTTATATATCAAAAACGTTATTATTTTGCTCAAAACACTTAGTCATCAATTTTAAATAGTTTTATTAAATAAAACGTATACACCAAGTAAAAACTAAGCTTACTATACTGTATATATATAATTACTATAATATTTAATGTCTACATATATTTCTATATTATACAGATGTATACGGCTATTGTTAATACTTAAGTTAAAGAATGGATTTTCTTTTAAGTTTAAAGCCAACGTTTTAAAATGAACGTTCTTAAGTTTATCGTTTCTCATTAATGCGCACCATTATTAATTTTACTTCCTTTTTTAGAAGTAATCAATTATAATAATATTATATTTGACCGACTTTATAATATGCTTAGATTATTATAAATATTGTATTTTGCTTAATGCTTTTTATCTTTTTTCAGTGGCTGATATTTGCATTATCGAATATTTTATTAAACTTAAATTATTATTAATGTTTTACTTCTATATATTAAATTAATAATTTGTAATAATATTCAGGTTCGATGCGGAGCTTAGAAGATATTATTTTTACCTGGACCTTAGACTTAGGCCGCTGAACCGATTTCTTCATGTGCAAGTATATAGATTTAGATCAGAAATCATTCCCGAAAAGGCCGAAAATTTAAAGAGGTGACCCCTCCCCCTTCAAAATATAGAAAAGTTTATAATTTTTACCACATCAAATTGCAGCGCGCTATAACTTGTTTAAAAATAGCCCAATTTATTACAAATTCGTATGGAATATTCTTTAGACATAGACAATATACGTTGACTAACCAACAAAACATCAATTACCTTTTCCTATAGGAGTGGTAACTTTTTATTTAATTCGATTTTTTAAGTGTAGTTTAAGAGCTGAAGGTCAGAAATTTGGATTGAAATCGATGTATTAATATATTCAATTTTCTCAAAAAACTGTAGTAAAACTTTGTTTTATTACAGAAAACCTAAAAAACGAGGGGAAATTACACTTGTTCTACGCCACTCACTGGGAGTGAAACAACAAACAACCGCTCTCTGAAAAATATTTTCATTATTTTTTGATTGACTTATTGGTAAAAACGGCAAGTAATTATTAGGAGAGACAAACGATCAAACCTAATCGTATCCACCCTAATACTAAAAAACAACTTTAAACATATTTTTGCCTGCACAATGATTTTATCAATATAGTATAACATAACATTCCTACCACCAAACGATTCGCATCAAATTATTGATATTATCGTTTATTTAAAAGTGATTTTTAGTACGCTGTTTTATCTACTTGTGTGTGTATTCTACTTTTAAACAAATTTAATACGAAGGTTTTTTATAACAAAGTGTTGTGTTAGTACACTTAGAGTATAAGTTTAATGTACATTAATATCTACAAAAATTACCGTATGCAGATTTATTCAAAATAATATTCGGAAATAAACTATTTACTTGTTCCTCATGTTTAAATTTAAGTTTGTTTTTTAGAAATAACTTTTTTCTGCTTACATTTAGATTAAAAGTGTCTGCAATAACACCACTAAGTCAACTTAATTAAATATTCGATATTTTAAAGTACTAATTTTTGTGTAAATTATTTGGCCTATGTTCTTTAAAATAAACTTTTGTTTTTTTAAAACGTTGTAATTAATATTACTATTTCTTAATTTACTTTTTAGAATATTTTTTTCATAATTAAATTCAAATGAATGCGAAAAATTCTTTTATCTCTGTAACAAAGGATATAATTAAACTAATTGAGTTGGTTGGGTTTGATCGACAATGTCATATTTACTTGAATAATACAAAAAGTAAAAAAGTAAAACAAACAAAAAATGAACTTTCAACTTCCGTTTTCATACTGTTGGAATACTGTTCTCGAGAAAATATAAATGCATTGTTTTATTTTACAAAATTAACAATGTAGGTGGTCGCCGTCTAGAGTTGGGATAGCGAGGCAAAATAAAAATAACCCAGCAAACCAACTACAGTATTAATCAGTACAGAAGTTAGCAATTTTATTTCATCACAACCAAACGCTTCGATATGACAAAAAAAACACTTGATATAGGTAAATAAAACTAATACCTTTTCAGCTGTATTGAAGCTAAACTTATATAATAATTATAATATTGCATATACTTACCACGATGAGCAGCACGAAGTAAATCCAATCCCAGAACGAATGAGCGTCTTGGACGTAGTACATTATATCCACCCAACCTTCCAAACTTATAACCTGAAAAACAACGAAAAAAATTATACATTAGAGTAAATAATAGAATATGGAGTACATGTTGTAATTAGTCGAGAGAAAAACATGTACGTAAGTTACAAAGTAAAGGGTAGTAGAGGTAATATTGTACAACATGTTTAAAACATGTGTAGAGTACAACGCACGCTGTCTGTCTGTTCGTGAACGTTATATACCGACCTCACTTTTTGATCCTTTTAGTGGATATTAATCACTGTTTCGTTTTGGGAACGTGGCCAAATATCGTGTACCGGGGATGAAGAAATCCCGTCCGATAAATCACCTCGGCAACTTCAATACCATGATATCTTTCCATCATCCGATCATCTCGTGAAGGTGCATCAGTCATTTTACCGAGTCTGAGGTGATTTTTAGTGGATCAACCGACTTTTTGGCACCACCGTCAGCTTACCCTCAGCATATTCATCATAACGAATGACAAGATATTTTATGTTACACCGATAAAACTATCAATGCGATAGAGTACTATTTCGATTATAAAGCGGCATTCGCTAATTCGTTGCTATTTGTTGTGTATTTTTTTTGGTGGGGAGAAGCACATTAAGTGTAAATAGAACGGATTGAATCCTACATTTATAAATAGTAAATATACAGAAAGCAATTAAAGTGTAGAACTTTGAGAGACTAATAAAACGTAGCGACTAAAACGAGCGCAAACACTACGAAAAAGCTCTACACCTAACGCTTTATTAAAGGATGACTTAAAAATATCATTAAGTTTTGTACAACTTGACTAAAGTTTTTGAGTCTGTGCCGAGCACACTTGAAAATGTAACAGGGAGTTTGGAAGCTGCGTCTCTAATATAAAATAACGACTGAGCCAATACTTTAAAAACCCTCGACGTATTTAGAATTGTTTAAAATGTAAATGGTAAGTTTTACTAGCTTTAAAAAATCATATAAAGACACGTTTTACTTTTTTTATCTATTTAAATTAACGTGGTTATATCGAACGTTAATACGACGTTCTTACACAAGCTTAGGCGATTTCAAATATACCATGTTACAGTTTATTGATTTTATACTTGTTCAACTCGTAACTAATGGGTTTCTCTCAAATCCAAAACTGAGATTTGTTTGTACAAACGATTACAAACCAGTATAGTTTATTGCATGACTTTTTTTCAGTCATTATTTCTATTCTATCTACCCTGGCTTGAATGACCTAGTTTTAAAAGTATCAAGCAAACTTTTTGTAACAAGACATTTTCTTCGCATTAGTGTAATAAGGATAACATACTATGAAAACATACTGGAAATGTCGTCAATAATGACATTCAACGAGACTTAAAATTAAATGTTAACATATAGTGTAACATTTTTTAATAAAACTTTATACGGTATTTTTAGAGAAAACTATGACTCCCAATTTTAAAAAATCAGTATGTGCACAATACTTAACGATATTATTGTTTTTAACTGATCAATAATACACACTTATTTTTTTTTATAAAAATTATTAATATTTATCAAAAAATAATAGTTCTACAGTTACTAAAGTTCTTATTAACTGGCACTGAATTAAAAAAAAATATGTTTGTAGTGTTTCGTATTACCGTTTGGTTTTTAGGTGGGTTAAGATATTTTCTTAATGATATAAAAATATAGTTTGTAAATTTATTATATTATGTATAATGGTATAGAAGTTTGGTATAGTGATACTGGTAATTAATCAAACTTAACTACACCACTTCTATACTATATTTCAGCAAGAACTAAGCCATGTGCAAATTTGTCATGTTGAAAGTTCTTATAACCATCAGTTGAGAGTCTAATTAAAATACTTATATTATGTTTACTTTGTTATAATATGTTCAAGAAAGTTGTTGAATATATAACGCGTGGATATTTATGTCTAAACAAACAAAGCTATGCGGTAACCGCTGAGAACACGTGCATTTAGTTATTGGTATAACACGACGTTAAAAGATAAGAACTAGCATTTGCATACCATACGAAGTCAAAACTGTTTAAATTTAAAATAAATATAACACATTTTAAGTGCATAGTCAGTTTTAATTATTTGCAAATAATCCCAATATAATGCATCGATTTTACGTTCGTTCTTATTCATATTGCACAAGTCATAATCAGTTGCCGTGTTCTAAATATACTATTATAATATTTAAAAACTTACAACAAATATGGCAACCCAGGCCAGGCCAATGTTGTCGAATGATATAGTGCCCTGGAATGGATTTTCGCCCTGTGATTTACACTCTGTATAGTAGTAATTCCAGTTAACACATGACCCGTTGGTCAAAGCCATAGTCGCAGTGGCATTACAAATGAGTGAGTCGTGTCGAGTAGGTGGCAAATCAAAACACGAGTGCATACCATTAGCATCGTTGTGTGAGCATATATAATCTTTTTCTTCATCGTTTAATGTGTAATACGCTGGTAACATCCTGTTAACATATGTAAATGAAATATAAGAAAAATGTTAAACATTATTAAAAGCCAAGATTCTGAGTTAGAGATTAATAAAAAAAAAAAACAATTTAACGTGCTTATATAATATTTCAAAATGTATTATAAAATAGCATATTATATTATATTATTGTCACTATCTTCCATTTTAAACAAAGTATGTAGTACAATAACATACAAATAAATAAAAGTTAATGGAAATAAAACTAGGGAAATTATTAATGTTATTTTATTTTTTTTTTTTAGTGTTAAGCTTTTACTGACTGTGTACATTTTCTTAAATTTAATAATATAGTGTATACAATTTTACTGAAAGCTTTTTTTAGGAATTTTAAATTACTGACTTATAAATTATCACAACATTAAGGCAATTTTGATAAAAATATTACCAATTATTTAATATAATTGATACTACCCATGCATTACTTACATTATATTATTAACACACAACTGCATTGAAAATGAACAAATAATTAGGAAATATTTTGTTATTGTAATTGTCTAACTATAGAAAACATGTTTCTAGCTTTCTATATATAGTACTTATAATACAAAATGCGTACCTATTATCATAGCTTTAAAACATTTTATCATTAAATTTGTAATATGAAGATAATATTGTTATTGTCATAAATGCCATATTTATATAATTTATGCATATTGTGTACCGTAAAATAGTTATAGTAATATATACAAATTAAAAAATCAATTAATAATAAATAAACATCAACGACCTTTGTATAATAAATAATATTTGTATGGTATTAACTTTTATTTTTATTTAAATAATATGATGTACCTAATATTATATTGTTAGGCGCTAAACATAATAATCGAAGCATAGAGTAAAATATATACCTACACAGCTGACTACCCCTCCCTCCCCCTACGCAAAAACCCTAAAAAGTACCTCCATAAATATAAATATTTGTATGTTCTATTAAATGAATATCAGTTATTACATTAATAATAATAACTTCTAGAAGATGCCAATTGCAAGGTCATTTAACATCATTAATCATTACTATAAAAATACCTACTGGAGAAATAAACAAATATCGCATTATTCACTCTGAATATAGTTACTCTGAAAAAAAATATTATTTATACTTCTAAAATAAGTATCATTAATAAACTTGAAGCTTATCAAAAACAAATATGCTTAAACCACTAATATCATAAATTCATATATTTTATTATAGTGTACGATCAAGATGAACCATCAACAAACTGTAAAATAATACCTTATTAAAAATAGTTAGGTAGGCTCCCTAGGTTAAAAATACTTATTTGAAATTTATTAACTTCAAGTATTGATTTAATTTTGCAAAGCTGCCGCGGTGTTGTTTTATACATTTAAAAACCATACATGATTTTCTTGTTGAAATGAACACTTTATGTTAATAAATAATAATTTTATGTCACTCCAAGCCAGTTACATCATTTGGTTTTTAAGCAGAAGTATTTTATGAGTTATCAAATTAAAAAATAGATAAAACTATAATCTATAAAGTTACTATTTATATTAGTTAATTTAGGTATATATTATTGTGAACGATTTTGTTAAAACAATCCGTAGATTATAATTACATTTTGAAGTAATAAAACAAACAAGTACGAAATATCGACAAAAAGATAATGTTAAATTTTTACAAAAAAAAAATGAATTGAATAACGTATATGACATTTATTTTTGCAATTAACGATTCATATACGGTTTTTTATACTAAAATATAATAATTTTAAAGCTTATCTTGAATACAATTTACTCATTCATGCGTAGCAAACCATTTAGTTTAAGTTTCAGCCGTAAGATTAATAGTAAAAAAGTTATAATTTATAACAAAAGTTATATAAATTCAGAAACTTACATAAAGATGTTTTATTATCAGAGGGTATAAGTTGGTGGTTTTATAAAATATACTATAAAACGTGCGGTATTTTATGGCACGTTGTACACAATTTTACTTTTGAATTTCGAATATTGCTACCCTTTTTTTATTACGCTTATTTTAATTAAATTATCTTAAATTGTTAACGATAATTCTTTATTAAAAATACAGTTAATACTGTTTTTAATTACACATAATTCAATTTAAAATTGAGTGATAATACAAAACAAATAAGTCAATATATTTTTTTTGATAGGTACTTTTATTTAAATTTAAAAAGAGTATATCAACGTTCTAATTAGTTTTTTTTTTATTTAATAGCTCAATTTTTTAAGACATAATATGTAATCGTTGTTTATAAAGTATTTACTTTGAGGATCAAAACAAAATTTTAAAATAATCACTATTTCTTCAACAAAATTGAGAAAAATCTGACAAAAATAACAACAGTTTTAACATTAACATTAAATTTGCGTTACATTATGAAATTAATCTTATTCGTTTTCGAACACGGTGAAATAAAAAAATACGAAAAGCGAATATTTTATAGAGAATAAATCTGCTTGTCGATTATCTTATTTAGAGGGACAACCAGCTTTTTTATAAGCAACATAAACACTCGATTTTCAAATAGACGTCTCTTGGGGTAACAAGAAAGAGGCATTTGAAACTAGCTGAAAGGGGTTTGGTGCATGCAGCCGTTGAATTTAAATTAAACAGTGATTTATAAGCTCGACGGCTACCGGGTTAAAAGGTGTTCAGTTTTATTTATTATAGAAAGGTCAACCGTAGCGGTAGCTAGGGAGATGAAATCAATTTTCGTTACGCAGAAAACTACCTATAAAATGGCCCTTTTTTTACAATTTGTTGGCGGATTTTTCCGTTGTATTATTATTATCATTATCCGCATACAATGGTGTATTATCAACAAAAAATTACCTTCACCATCTGTGTAACAAAACCCCCAAACAATGTATGGGCCAGAACAATACACCTAATGCTAGTGCAGGATCAGCGAGCGGTCCACTCGAATTGATCCGTTGTCGTAGACTGTTGCTTTAGTCGCGCGGGTGGCGTTTGCTTTACTGCTGACCTTTTTACGCGCCCATTGTACTTTCCTCTGTTGACCTCTAAGGATATTCTCACTCCTTTTATACAAACAATGCACCCTTTCCCTATGTAGACTGTTGGAAGTACGCCAGATGTTATAAGAATATTATATATTTGCAAATACACTCTTTGTTTTAGATTTTTTTCAGTTTATTTCCGTTTCTCTCTTTCTCTCCGCATTACTGCATTATATCTCTATGACCTTACAAAACCTTAAGACGTTAAAATATTTTATTCGTTTCTCCCTATTACACATTCGGTGCATTGATGACTAGTTTTTAGTAGCAACCTATAAAAATTACTAAAAAGGAACACACCCTATAAATAAAAATTATTATTTTTCAGCACCGAAACACCGAGATTTTTTCGAACAAGAAATATTCATGACAACAATGAAATCCATCACTGAAGTATATTTTCAACATCTAAAAACTAAATCTTAACATAATATAACAGCCCATAAATTTGCAAAAACTTTAACTCATTGGGTTACACATTTCATACGTACTTATCCTACTCATTCATTTATCTTGTCTTTAGAAAGTTTCAAACAATTTATCGAACATCTGATAAAAAATATTTTAACTTTTGATGAACTAATGATGATTTTTTTACATCTACTGTGAATATATAAATTATTAAAGCATATAACTAATAATCCGAAAGTATAATTTATTTAGTCTGGGTTTTGTTGAGCTTTATATGATTTCTAAAACAAATAAATAATAACGCTATTTAAATAAATCGTTAAATAGTTATTGTTCACCTATAAAACCTTCTCAGCTTTGTACTACATTTATAACTTTTTTATTTTACTTAGTTATTGGATTTAATTTTTTTCGTGAGAACCCTCTTTACCTATAAGTGTCTATGAACAGTACTTTTATGCTTTTAGAAAGTTTATCATACCAAAAAAAATATTTAAACATTGAAACTAACAAAACAAATTTGAAACAAACAAAAACTCTGACAAAATAATTTAATCACGGAGTTAAGAACTCGAAACCGAATGCAAACTTTGGGATTTAAAATCTCTGCTTTATTTTTTTTTTAAAACACTTTATCCCCGATTATGTAGTATAAAAACACGCATTTACGAAGAACATGCTTTTTACTTATTTAACAGTAAACAGTTTATAAGATACAAAAGTTCTAAATAATATTTTAAATTAAAAAAAAATATAGCTGTTGACAGAATTGTTAAAAAAATGTTAAAAGAAGACCTGTCTAGTTTTCAATGTGTTAAAACACGACAATCCAAAAATCGAAAAAAATCTACTAATCATCTTTCGTCATACGTGTATACTACACTAGTTAAACTAAAATCTCGAGTTTTTTTTTGTGGGTTGGTTGCTTTCGCAATTCAATTAACATAAATATACTCTACAGATTGCTTATTCTAATAACAGAAAAGTAATTGATCAAATAATGACTGTTTGGCCTGTATAGAAATAAATGAGAACATACTACCTGTACTACAGTTGACGACAACTGCCGTCGTGACAATTATACGGTTTCCGGGACCGAGCTTTTAATTACTCTTTGGAAACAGCTGTATATTTTCCATAAAACTTCACTTGTAATCCACGCGTTACTTACAGTTGAAAAAAGTAATTATACATTTTAAATACTTTTTTAATATATTACTTTTTATGGTTAATATCTAAACTAATGTGTAGGTAGGAAATACGTCAACAGCGTTCGATAAGATGTGCTGAATACAATTATTGTTTCGCTCATTTAAAGCGTCGAACAATAAAACAAGCGTACAAACCCACTTCCTGAAATTGGTCGTTAAAACGATCGAAACGTTATAATAATGAGAACAATCAACAGAAAATCTAAATATTATCACTTTAAAAATAATAACGATAAATGTAATAGGTTTTACTAACCATGTAATTTGTATGCGCACATCAGCGTTCTTCAATATTACCTGTCAATATGTTTAGACAGAATACCCAATAGTAACCGTT